AGAACCCCTTATTATCCCATGAGAATCGTAAAAGGCGGCAGAGGGAAATGAAACAGGTATAGGAATACAGTATCTATTCTTGATAATAACTCAAAATAATAAAAATTGCGGCTGCTAACCCTAAACCACTTGCTTAGAGTGGGAACAATGGCGTATATTCCCCCTACACACAGAAGTGGACTTTTGATAGTAGTAGTAGTAAGTGTTATGATCTAACGACAAAAGAAAAGGCAGTCTGCGGTCATGCCGCTGTTATAGTACTATCGTAATAGTGCCCACGTAAAGCAAACCCAGTGACAATTAAACAAACACTGTTATTATTCACTGTTAAATTCTTAATAAGGCTAAGAATAATTTGGCGGACATATACTCGCTGAATTTATCTAGAGTTTGTAGTGTCCTTATCCCGATATATTTTTAATTATACAACAATTGTACGAAATTCCGCATTATTGACGTTTTTGTCGTAAGATGACAGATGAAGCTTCCATAAACTTTCATTGATATAAATAAGTATTACAACCGGACTAATAAAACTCCCTAATTTTATGAAGTCATAGACTAAATGGATTTATCGACAACATTTTTTGTTTCGCAAATGGCACATCAATAGAGGTGTCTATGGAATGGAAAAACAAACAACTTTGCAACAACCTTGTAAAACCTTGTAAAATGAAAAAGGTGTGAATAATGTAACTATCTTATTTTGTACCAAGATAAACGCCATATGTATAAAGAGTACAGCTATAAGAATTTTGTTCTTATTTTAGGGCGCTTTCTATGCTAGTAATTACTCTGAGGTGCGCCAATAACTTTAAACTTTTACACTTACCTACTGTAAATAAATATGTAAACGTAGCGGTAAACAATTTAAATTTAGCATTATATATTATTTAGTTATAGTTCTTCTATAATGATTACTTCTAGTAAAAGTGGAGCTCTCATTTTCTCCAAAAAAGTTATTCATGTGATATTTTTGAAAATATAATAATATATCATTGCCTTGGTTACAGAAAAAAATATTTTAGGAATATTGCTTGATCAGAAGCTAACTTTCCAAGAACATGTAAATAATCTATATTGCCTTGGTTACGGAAAAAATATTTTAGGAATATTGCTTGATCAGAAGCCAACTTTCCAAGAACATGTAAATAATCTATATTGCCTTGGTTACGGAAAAAATATTTTAGGAATATTGCTTGATCAGAAGCTAACTTTCCAAGAACATGTAAATAATCTATATTGCCTTGGTTACGGATAAAAAATATTTTAGGAATATTGCTTGATCAGAAGCTAACTTTCCAAGAACATGTAAATAATCTATGTAAAAATGCCTGTAGGGGTCTCAGTGTGTTAAAATCATTAGCAGGTGTGCATTGGGAAGCTGATTCAAAGTTGTTATCAATGCTTTATAAAAGTATAGTTTGAAGTAATTTTGATTATAGCACATTACCATATTTAAATGCAAACAAATTGATTTTAGGGTCATTCTCAGAAAAGATGTACATTTGTTATCTTTTCTTGTCCCGCGAACTTATACTTTAATAAATATCTAATTTTATAAATATGATAAAAAACAATTCCTCTTGTTATATTAGTCTCTTAACGTGAAGAATTTTTTGGTATTGTAACTTTAATTTTTAGTAAAGGAATAAATTTTTTGAGATCATTATTTTTGTAAAAATTGCTATCGAACATTTTTTTAGCGTCCCGGTGACCATTTTACTTTTTCAGTGTCAAGTTGTTACAAATATTAATAAGCTTTATTTAACATGGCTATGGCTGTAATACTCCTGCTGAATCAAGCAATTAAACTCGTCCTAATTCATTCGAAAGTCATTTAAAAAAATAATTTATTTTGATTTAATTAATAATGTCCCAAAATTATAACGTTGCGTTACTCAGGTTTCGTAACGTGTAGTAAAATTAGGAACGCATTTATTTAAAAGAGTAGAAATATGTTTTTCTATTTCGGCAACACTAGTAACTACGTCAAAATTATTGCCGCCGCGGCCATTGCGTTTTAGTCGCAACCGTGGACTTCCCTATATAAAAAAGTACTCTGTGCCGTGGACTCAATATTTGTTATCACTTGAATATTCACAAAAACTATCTCAGGGTGATAAACAACTATTATTTTGGAAAGTTTTTTATAATTTTTGTTTACTAATTAAATCCTTTTATTATTTTTTGTAATATCATAACGAATACACTCGGTGTTTGTTTGTGCAAAATTTGGTTTACGTAAAAATAGTTTTAGAGGGTATAATTTCTCAGAATTTATTCTCAATTTCGTTATATTGCGTAACGTTACGAAACTGAGAAATTGTTAAGCTTAGTTCACAAGAACAATTAAGTATGTAATTACTTACTACTACTTAAATAACGTTTTAAATTTCGTTATAATACGTCGTTGCTCTGTTCACTGAAGACTTTACGAGTAAACACCACAACTTGCTCTTAGCAGTTTTTTTTCTTTATTGCAAATAAAACAACAAGGCAATAAAATCAATTTAATTAATAAATAAGGAAAACTAGTCTAATTTGTATTTATTTCAAAAAAATTTTTATTTTTCAAAAAAGGAAAGAAGAAGAAAGAAAATTATAATAGAAAAATTAAAGGAAGAAAGAAAATTATGATAGAAAAAAGTGTTGAAATGGGGGTAAAAAGAACATCTAATGTTCAGGATATTCAGAAACAAAAATTGACGTCTGAGAGATATAAAAAGTAACAGGAGAAAAAGAGAATAAACCACCAAAGATAGGTCAAAAGAGTATAACATATGATTGCGAATCTTCTGACACTGATGAAGAAGCCGTTTATTCTGAAAGTGACAATAGTCCCTATATTAATGACGAAAGTAACTCGCTATCATCAGACATTACAACAAAACCCAAAAATAAAGTCACTATTTTGTCGGATATTAGATTGCATCCAGACGATCAACGATACTTTAATTTTGTTTCATCAGGAGTCTCGTCAGTGCATAAGATTGATCCTACCCATTAAGTAAAGTAAAAGTAAAGTTACAGCCTATATACGTCCCACTGCTGGGCACAGGCCTCCCCTCATTTCTGAGAGGGTTTGAGGGCAAGGAAGTGTCCGCCGCGCTGCCCCAATGCGTTATGGCGAACTTCACGTCTTCGAAGTATTTTTTTCCTACCCATGATAATATATATTTATTTAAAAATAATAATCATAATGGTGCGAGTGACAATGACTCAAATTTTGATATCTTTTAATAAATTATTAGACTTCATTTTGATCTCGTAAATATTCCTCCGACATCATGTTTATTTGAAAAAATTAATATTTGTTAACATTCCATTTATTCATAGTTTTTTATTTAATTCAATTAATACAAATAGGACTAACTAAACCAAACAAGTGTTTTATTAGCCCAATTTATAATTTGTACTTAGTTTGATGTGTACTATACCTTATGAGATTAGTTTCGTTACGAATATTCTCAGTATCGTTACATATCACTTTAGTTACAAAATTTAAAATGTAAACTTTTTCTGAGTATGACCTTTAAAGATATTAGATATAATTCAGAATAAAGCATTGCTTTCAGTAGTGCGATCAATGTAATGGAAGTAGAAAGTTGTATACTTCAACTTTTATTAAGAAGGCTATAAATTACTGAACGATTTCTACAAGAAAATTTTAACATTATATACAATAGAAGAAACTTACTTAACAATCTTAATAAAGTAAAGAAGACTGTTACTTTTATGTGTGTCCCTTCACACTCTGGAATGACTGGGAACGAGGAAGCAGACATTGCTACTGAAGATGTATCTACATCATCATGTTAAGATCACTCCTCAATGCTGGAAATACTATTTACACATATATATGCCTTGTTAAGCAAGAGCTTAAAATCCTTATGGAAGTCATATTGGTAAGAAATAAGTAAGTCCAAAGAAATTTGCTATTATGAAATACAAAAAACCCGCCAGCCAGGGATTAATAATAGAAAATTCATTACGACTTTAAACCGAATGAGATTTGGACATAGAAAAGTAGCCGCCCCCACCTGCATCGTTTGGGAATGAAAGAAAGTGCAAATTGTGAATATTGCTGTGACACGAATGGAGACATTAAACATCTGGTTTTTCAATGTTGTCAATTTGGTTTAAATAGATTTAGATTACTCCTTATTAATTCCATTCAAGATATTAACAATGAAAAAGTTCCTAATACTCTTCTAAGTCTATTAGCTGATAAAAAATTCTTTCGACCATTATATTCCTTTATTTCCGGTGTTCAAGATATATAAAAATAACAACGTGATATTAATCAATAGTGCAAACGTGATAAGCTCTTTGTGATTTGTGAATCAGTGTGAAAGTGAATTTTTGATGAATGTTTCGTAATTTTTAAAGATAACAAAACATTGTAACCGCAGGCACAGAAGGGTTAGAACGCAGAGCCGTAAAGTCAGTTAATAACAAAAATATTCTTGAGTTTTAGTTTTAAAACATCTTGGAAACAACCGAAACAACTAACTAAAACAGGTACTACTGTTGTACTTGTGAGAAAAATATAATAGGTACTTCCTATAAGTTTAAATGTCATATATATATATACACATAACAAAGTAAGTGCACGTTTCACTTGTGAATTTTGTTTAAAACAGTTCTACCGAAGTGACACTTACGTCCGCCATCTCAAAGTACATGAATCGAGAATGCACCAAGACACTAACGTGAAATGTACACAAAAGTTGTATATTTGTGATGTTTGCAGCAAGAGTTATATAAACAAAAGTAACTTAATTAAACATTTTAGAGTCCACGACAGTACATTTAGACCTCAAAATTTCCAATTTAGTTGCAAAGTTTGTGGCATAGAATATTGCGAAAATCGCCTACTAGTCCGGCACATAAGAAAAACGCATTTTAATTTCCAAGCTAAGGAATCGTTGCATGAAAAAAAATTGCCCAATGAAACGTGGGTAGAGAAAGTAATACAGAGTGATGCTTACGTAGAAATGACTAAAATAACAGACAATATTATTGCTATCAAAAGGTGCTCTCAAATAAATTCTGAGAAGGACGAAATGAAAAAAGACGTGAATAGTAAGACAACCGATAATAAAACATATTACCCTGATATTAAAAATTATTCAGAAGTTGTTTGTAATTATTGTAAAAAGACAATGTTGAAGAAGAGTCTTTTGAATCATATTCGAGAGAAACATCTCAAAGTGAGAAAATTTAAATGTGATACTTGTAATAGTAAATTTAACAGGCGGTACCAGTGGCTTAATCATACATGTGGGAGATACAAACAAAAATCTAAGAGAGAGCTTTAGCCTTATTGTAATTTGCGTGTTGGATTCCTTGTGTAAGATTATATCTACACATTTGTTAATCTATTTTTGTGCCAAATGTAACTTATTTATACATATAGAAAACAGTATACAGTTGTATGCATGTATGGCAAAATCAAATTCTTTATTTTAGTAAATTAAGATTTTTTTATAGGATAGGATGACAAATGAGCACACAGTCCACCTGATGGTAAGTGGTTGCTGTAGATCATAGACATCTACATCTGTCCACAATTACATCCGTGAGGATTTAGGTGGAATGCCTTGTTTCCAGTAAAAAGTGTCTCCGGTTCTCTACACTCACCATACGAAACACAGCAGCATTAAGGTACTTTTTGACGCTGGTATTCTGTGAGAGTGTGGTCCTTCCCCGTTCGAGCCGACCCACTCGTGCTACAACTATACTACTACTGATATAACTGCAGCATGGCTCTACAACAGAAAGAAGATTAATTATTTTATACAAACTATGTACAAACATATTCCATCCATCAATAAAAATGTAAAGATATATTTCATGCCTAGAATATAAGAACTATTTTTAAGTATGTGTGACAGAGATTGTCACAGTCCATCTTTTTCAAAGTTGATGCTGAGGCCTTTTAACACCTATATTCATCATATACATTATGCAGTTATTTTAAATGCAGCATAACACTGCTGTGTTTCGTATAGTGAGTGACATGAATCTGATAAACTTTTTACTGGTAATGCGTTTCATCTTAGTCCTCAGGGATAACAATGCATCTAAATACAATTTATTGAGAATAATTGTATCAGCGAGCCATTCACTACAAGCAGGTGAATGGTGTGCTTGTTTATCACCCTTATTTCTTAACACAATTTGGTTTGAATGCATGGGATATCCACAAAACATTGATGAAGGCCTTCCGACCTCATGTTTGCCGATGGAAGAAATGAGGGAGGAAGTAAAGCATGTGTAATTTCGGTACACAGGTGATACCAAAAGTCATATTACAATTTTATTAGGTTATCTGACAGGAAAATATCAATTTTTTTTTCATTCTGCCAATGTCTCGTCATTGGTCTGTCACATTTTGTGGCTTATTGAACATCAATTATTATGCATCAAATAAAATAAAAATGACCAAACTAAATCTGATGACAGGTGAAACGTCGCCGTATTCGCAAAATTCACATAGCTGTCAAGTTCACATGAGAAACATCTTTAAAGAAAAATATTTACTGTAGATTGTCTTAGTTTATTGACGAATATGACAAAATAATATATTTACTCAAAAAGTTTTTCCTAATGTTAGATTTTAAAATTTTAGTGCATGTTGATATTTTGTTATTATACGTAATATCTATGATTAAGTATAGTTTTATTTTTTGCGGTGTGATTAGAGGATTAGACATTGATTTATTTTATAAAATAATGCCTAATCGCATAAAAGTCAATGGTTGTGACTATTTCATTTACAGTATGTTAATAAATACCTATACGCTTTTCATCAAATTTTTAGATGTTTAAAGATATTCTTCTTTTGATGTTGATAAAGTGTATTACAAACTATGTAAAGATGCATGATAGACATATCTGTAATACAAAATTTTAATGTATTTGTGTGTGAAATCGCATACAAATTAAAGACTGTATATTAAAGTGCCTTCCAAAAAAAAAAATACTTGTCATATATTTTAATATTTAATGACATGCATTTTTTGGAATTTATGGGAATCAAAATTTTGCAAATGTTGCAATAATTATATTTCTTTGGTCCCTATTAAAGATGTATGTAGATACCGTATATGCTGTTTAACAGGTTGATAGACGCGAGATATTTGTATAAGAAAAAATTACACTATTTCAGAGTTTAATTTCTTAGTTTAGATCGAAATTATTTTATAAAATATTGCATATATTGCGATATAAATGATTCATTTGTGCCTTTTACATATTAAAAATAGGTATAGTATATTTTTATACTGCTGTTGTTATATAATTACTTAAATTACTTAAATTTACTTAAATGTACAATGTTATATATAACCTTAAATGTTACGAATAAAATGACTTGTGTACTGACCGAGTTGTTATTTTTTATTACATTGCGGCGTGGTTATTAGTTCTTTTATTTTGTGGAAGTAATACTTAACACCTATCAAGAATAAAATAAAAATCTATTTAGCGATCTCTTGGTAATCATGAAGAATGTTTCGATTTTGTGCGGGGCTTACGTCACATATCCCTTAAAAAACAGAGGCGGGTGGCAGCCCTAGCAAAATTTTTAGGTGGTGCGAGATCTCATAGTGGCGCCCCTCTAAATATATAACCTTAGTGTTCCTATACCATTAATTGCTTTTTCGTGATTTTAATTAGTATTAGACCTATCAAATATCTACAGGTGTATATGCGGGACAAGCACAGTTGTGTCTGTCGCTCTTGCCATAGCAGAAGTTCTGCTTATTCGCGTTAAAGAAATGTCCTTTCCGCTCGCACTTCTCTGTTGCGCTCAACAATGCTACTATTATGGAGTGTAGAAGTATACACTCCATAGCCAGTATGCTTGCCTTGCTGCGGTGACTAGTTGTACACATTAATTGTCATAATAAGAGTTCATAGACTTGTTCGACAACTTTTATTTAAACTGTTGTTCTGCAGACAATGTTAAAAAAGAACTACCAACAACAAACTTAATGAAGAGCATAAATGGCCAGCTTTCGGGCTTATGCGCTTGCAATTTTTTATTAATTCAGAATAATTTAACTTCTGGGCAATAGAATTTTCCGACACATAGTAGAAACTTAAGTAAATTTTTAAAGGTTTTAATGTACTAAAACTTCGTTTCCGCTTAGCTACAGTTATAGTACAGGTATAGTCAGCAAGATACGAAGTCTAAAAGTGTTGTCTACACATTTGGAAAATATGTCATAGTTTCCAAAGTTGACACGCTTCACCTACTTGTTATTATCTGCCACAACATGAAGCTATCTTGGGACTCTCTTTGTTCAGTAGTGGACTTTTAATAAGTTGTAATGAATGTTTTATTTAATAAGTATATCAAATTGTTCAAGGCCGTGTAAATATGTTCATTTGTTAAGAATTAAGCACAATAAAAATCAAATTTACTTAAAAAAACACCTGTGCAAAACCAGGGTAGGTTGTTAGTGAATTATTAGTCTCTATTACGTTGTTATAAAAAGTAAACTCTCTGAATGTCGTCTAAAATATATACAGGGTTAGTTTGCAATAACCGTCCAAATTTGTAGAGAAGGTTCAGAATAAGTAGTACAGACAAATGGTGAAAATATAATAAATAAAAAAAATCTTAAACATTCCGTCCTTTTTATTTTTTAAATTCAAAATGCGTGGCAATGCACTAGAGAGATATTTTAATTTGAGTTTAAAATTTGGCTACTCTTTGAAAAAAAAAACCAATTGTACTACTTTATGGTAATTAGTGATGCAACGGAAGTGTCATATCGGAAGCAGAAACGGAAACAGATGTTAAATTATTTTTTTGCAGAAACTGAAACAGAAACGGATGCGCGAATAATAATGCGGAAACGGAAACGGAAATACTTCTTATTAAAAAATACAAATAAAACTTTTTTACATTCAAAATTAAGTAGCGGTAAGTTATATTTTATGAAAAGTAGTTTGGCCATTTTTACACCTAACAGCCTGTTCCGGTGTTCTACATATATAAGTCCAATTCCGCTAAATAATTGCTCACTGGCGATGCTGCGTATACACCAAACTTAAATTGGCACTAAAATATAGGCAGGCCATTTAAAGAGCCACGTTTAAGTTTAGCGAGTAGGTAATTTAGTACAACCCTAGCACGAAAGTACGATGTAAATGAACTTTGAATCCAAAATACTCATTAGTGTCTTTAAAAATAATTAATATAGGCTTGAAATAAAAATAAATAATATAAACTTTACGTAAAAAATAATTAATATAAACTTCACGTCAACATAACTGCTGCCTAATTCATTTTACAAATCTTAATCGTAACAAAGGCATTTAGTAAAAACTAGTTTTAACTAGAGAAAACACGTTTTAACTAAAAACGGGTTTTTACTATAACGGAGAAGAATACATATTATAAATAAATGTGTATGCAATTCCTTGACTGACCATTTCTTTTGTAGTTTGCGATGCAAGTTTTAGAGTTTCAACAAACTTCTCAAACTCTGCAAACTCTACGGCGTGTATTGCTTTAAGAAGGCTCTTTAAAGCGGTAGGCGTGCCACCTTTTCGCGAGTATATTTTGTCACATAATTTACATCTAGCTCCTAAATCAACAACCTCAACATGATAGTTCCAAACATTACCTACTCGTTTTTGGCTTCATGATTGCACTTAAGTGTATAACACGACTCAAATTACTAATTAACTAAAAAAACAGAAAATCTTACGCACTTACGTCTCACGTCGTACTCACGTCACGCCGTATAATAAAGTTAAAAAAGTAAGTAAACAAACCCAATGGGACAAGTGCCGAAAGCACGTATCCAGCTCGCTGGTGGTTAGCTAAAATGCTCTTACTTACACGTGCTCAACTATCAAATGATGCGGCGTACCTCGTCCGCTGCGTCACATGAGTAGATAAACGGAATTTTATCTACTCATGTGGCTGCGTCGCTGAGTTCCGTTCAAACTTCCGTTATAAAACTTGCGGAAACAGAAGCAGAAACGGATGTTAAAAATCATGCAGAACTTCCGCAGTTGCGGAAACAGAAACGGAGTTCTGTTGCATCACTAATGGTGCCTGCAATTTGGGAACCGCTGTTTTTAGTAATCTACGCCTTTGCGTGTTTCCAGTTATGTCCAATCTATCAAAATGAATCGAACATATTCTCGAATTTTTAGATGGGTTGTATATATAATTTTTCTCGTCTTTCTTTCGCGACAATAGATACTCATTCTGCACAGCAAAATGAGTCCCTAGGAAATCTACAAACAAAAAATATGTATATTAAATAATAATACTACTCCATGCATATTTGTTCAAGAACAGTGGATGTTTGTTACAATAGTTGTTGCGTTGTAGCATACATTGGCCAAACAATCATAATATTAGCTAAGTAATTGAATTATTTTTGCTATTTAATTCTGTTTTTATTTTATGAAATACACTTAATGATATAAACTTACCGAAAAAAAAAGATATTCCTTCCAAAATCTTGGTGTTACGGTGGTTATTTGCACAGTTTTAGAACGCGCACTGTGCCATTTCGACGTTCTAACGTTGGCTATGATTGGATCATACTAATTTGAAATAAGACCACAGAAGTGTTTGTGGTCTTATTTTTCTGGCCGTTTTTGAAGCGCTTATCGGGAATCTAGTATATAATTGATCGAAGATTTGGTGTAAATCGGATGTCCGGGTGAATTTCCCACTTAAAACTAAGTTGGATTAATACCGTGCCATACTATTATATATAGTATTGAATGTACAGTACAAGGAGTACTCACACATTTTGGGTATTTTATAATTAATCTTGTATTTTTTTATCATTAAAGAGTCAAAACGTCACTACCATGTGTCCCATATAACATTTTCGTCATTATTTCAGCAAAAATGTCATATTAAACGTATGTTTATAAGCTAAGTCACCACGCAGCCGTCATAGAAAACGTACGTCGCACATCCTGCCTGATTTAAAAAAAAAGTGAAGAAAAAGAGTGTTACCGTGGTTTTTGTTAGAAAAAATTGTCTTTACTGTGGGTCTACTTCCTCGGTAAGTACACAGAATATTAGAATTGGTTTTATTTTCCCTAATTATTTAACCATTTTGTTATGACGTAAGCAACAGAACATATTCCGGAATATTAACCCTGCAATGTTATGCGAATAATATTTGATTTTCTCATTACCGTGTTTGTCATTACCATGTATTACCGTGGTTGTTTTAAGCCACGGTAATGACATTGATAACATGATAATGACTTACGTATAATACATAAGTAAATATTAACAGTTTTTTAGACTAGTACCGATTGTAATTGGTATATAACTAAGCATTGTGCATTATATACGCAAATTTTGTTTGTTTTAGACAAAAAATAGACATGCCATGGCTTAAAAAGCCAGTAAATAGAGAAGTTAAGAAAAAAACGATTAGCGGAACAAGAAAGGCGCAACAAAATAAAGTCTAACCCTGAGCTATACAAAGAATACTTAGAAAAAGAAAAAGCTCGCTATA